GGTATGATATAATATTGCTGGTTATTTTAAACTGAGTCTAAGGACATTTTTACAATTAAGTTCAATATGCCAATAAGTCAAACGGAAGAACATTTGCGCTACAGCATATCAAAACTATGTATTATTCATAAAAATATGATTATAATTACAAAATATTTTTGATCCATGATTTATTAATGAAATGAACGGAAGATTGGCCTATAAATTATAATTAAATACGACACTGGATAAAATATGACAAATTTGTTTGCTACTAGCATATCTGGATTTTCGGAATTTTACAGAAATGATACCAGCTAAATCATTCAACTTTGGCAAAATTTTTATCATATCAAAATTTTTTTTGTCAAAATTCAAAGATGGAATTTAAAATAGGCCTAATAATACTTTTTATATGTATCAAGCAATCACTTCTCTGATTATAATGACGCTTCTCCGTCCTTCTACCATATTATTACGGGTGTCGCCAGGCTCCGGTCCGCGGAAAGCTGGACGCTGGTTCATTTACAAAAATAACATGTAAATTAAACTTAAAGGCTGCGTCTTTTTAACGACCCCAGATTAGCCAGCGACCTGATCCCATCTGAAAAAAATGGAAACGTAACAAAGTGATCCGGTCCGCGGCTGGGATCCCCGTCGGTTATTATCGAGCCGAGGGGAAACCTTTTTTTGGTGGGGGGGAGCAGCTACTCGCCAGTAAAGGTTATCGGCCAGGGAGGGGGAGGGGTTAAAAAGCATTGCTAACTACCGGTAGGTTAAAAGAACAAAAACTACACGGTGCCTTTACAAGGACACACTTTTCAATATTTTGGGCAAAGGGGGCAGGAGATGAAACAGCTGTGTTATAAACGCGCCTGGTTATTAGACATAAATCATTTTAAGAGCGTTTAACCGCCAGATTTTCCGTCACATATTCACTAACCAGGTACCCAGTTTGACTGTTTTAATTTGATTTAATTTTTAATAGCTCTAAATGTGAAGCTTATATCATGTGTCATATACCGTATGAGTGTGATACTGAACTGCAGTGACTTACAGTGACTGTCCTGCACTTGCAGACAGTGACGTCAGGCTGGTGGGTGGCGGCAGTCCCTGTGCTGGGAGAGTGGAGGTTCTCCATCAAGGACAGTGGGGCACAGTGTGTGGTGATGACTGGGATATGGAGGATGCTGCAGTGGTGTGTAGGCAGATGTTCTGTGGAGATGCTGTAGCTGCACCACAGTATGCTCACTTTGGAGCAGGAAGAGGGAGCATCTGGATGAATTATGTGGCCTGTAGAGGGTCAGAGTCGACACTGAAGGACTGTGGGCCCAGACAGAGAGTATATAGCTGTGGTCACCATGAGGACGCTGGAGTTATCTGCTCAGGTAGGACACATGTACTGATCAGTAAACATGCTGCGCAAAGTCAATTTGCTCACTTTTAATCAAGAAACATATTAAAAAGTCTCTCAGAAAAGCTTTTAATAGTGCAGCTCTGTGTGTTACTTTGAATGTCAGTTTAGAATGACTCAGTGGGTCTTAGTTTTATATTTATTTACATTCATAAATCATAGCTTCGATAATTTGTGAGATTATGAGCAGAGGAGAAATCACCATTAGAGGCTTTATAGAGTTATTTGTCACACAGCCTAGTTTTATATGCTATTGTGTACATTTATTAAACTTTTGTTGAGAAAAAAATATAGCGTAATTTTTGCCCCACTAAATACATTAAATCTTCTGTCTGCTAACTGCTTATGCTGGTGAAGCTGGCGGGGGCTTGGAGCTGATCCCAGGCA